AGAGAGAGAGAGAGAGAGAGAGAGAGAAAGGAAGAAATAAAGGAGGCCAGAAAGCACTGCATAGGGAGGGTGTTGAAAGTGGTAGGGAGGGTGTCGTCGAAATCGAAAGCGCCAAGAGCAGCCTACCGTAGGCCTACTTAATGTATTCATGGGTCCAAAGTCAAAGGTTCAGCCAATCGGAGCCCGGTTTACGCCCTGCGTGCAGTTGTATGTGTGTGTATGTCTAGACCTAATATCTAGATCAAGATAAAAAAAATTATGAAAGTATTGAAAGTAGATTTCTCCTGCAGTGGATTTAGCGCGCACGCCGAACTGCGCCAAAGGATATTTTGTGTTCAGTGTGTTCGTGTGTAGACCTATGTCTAGATCTAATATCTAATCTAGTTCAAGATAAATAATCATGAAAATGAAAGTATTTAAAGTAGATTTCTCCTGCAGTGGATGAGTGTATTTTGTGCACAGTGTCTAGATGAGATCTAGAATCGAGATCTAGAATCGAGATCTAAATCGAGATGAAGAAGAATCATGAAATAAAAGTAGAATCTAGGTCTGTGATATTTCGATAACCTATTGAATATTTAAGGTGGATTTTTCTTGCCGTGCATTATAGATTCTAAGATCTAGATCTATATGTGAATCTTAGATCGAGATCAAGAATGATGAAAGTATTGAACGTGGATTTTGTCCTGTTGTAAATAGATCTAGAGTCAAGATCTAGAACTAGGCAGTCGGTGAATCTAGATCGAGGTCAAGAATCTTGAAAGTATTGTTGAAAGTGGATTTTTCCTGCTGTGAATAGATCTAGAAATCTAGGGCATCTGTGACGCCTGTCGGTTGTTAAAAATGTGAATTTCTAAACTTAAATCTATCTATGGGCCTGGGCTCCTTCTTTTAATTATTGGCCCATGTCTTTATACATGTAATCCTTCGAGATCTAGGCTAGATCTAGAATCTAGATTAGGTTCTTCTAGGAAGCAACAATTGGCATGTAGGTCTAACTCTTTAAAAAAATGTGATTGAGCTGGAATTTTAGGAGAAAATGCCACGCCTTCGAAGAGGGAGAAGAAGTCTTACCCCTAGAGGTAGTCAGGTGTGGGGGGGGGGGGGTGCTACATGGATAAATTCAAGGTAAAATATTTATGTTTAGTTTCTTTCCTGTTTTCAGTCTTTTTCTCTTCTTAACTTTCCTAATACTTCTTTATTATTATTCCGTTCGTAGAACGGGTACATTTACTAGTTATGCATAATAAGACGAAAGATTTTTAAAATCTAGCTTCAAAATGACCCCAGGCTCTACGGATAGGGTTAAAAAGAGGTACCAGCTGAGAGTTCGCATCAGTCATACTGATAGACTTAGCCGTTTTGCTGAGCGGAATTCGTTAACAATGGTTGGCGAGATAACAAAGTATCCGGAAAAAGTAGCTCTTTTGACGTGGAGACTAATTTGACAGGGGGGGGAGGGGGGAGTGAAACATGAGGGATAGAGGGCAGGAAGGAAAGAGGAACGATAGCATAATACTCATTATTCCTCCTAGAGAGAGAGAGGGGGAGAGAGAGAGAGAGAGAGAGAGAGAGAGAAAGAAAGAGAGAGAGAGAGAGAGAGAGAGGGCGAATGAGAGAAGAGAGAAGAGAGAGCAGAGAGACACGGTGAGTGGGAGTACTCATCCTGATTTCACTACTCCCGCTGCCTGACACGCGCCGTCCTTTCTTTCGCCCCCGGCGCTGCTACTGCTTTTTTTCCTGCCACACTTTAGTGTAACCTTCCAGGGAGTGAGTACGCGAGCGTGCGGGCTTTCAGCACGATTGAGAGTGTTTGTCCTGAGTTTGTAAGCTTCACATCCGTTGCGCGTTGAGGGATAAAAATGTGCTCAACCTGGCGTTTTTAGTTCACGGACCTTCGTCTGGTATATAGGTATGAGAGAATAACGACCTTGAAAGGTAAGCGTTTATAAAGTTGTGTGTGGGCGACAGATCACCTTTCACCTTTTCACGATGTTATACATTCCATTTGAATATCCATGTATCGATTTTGAAAAAACAACAACCCCAAAAACAAACTTGTAAGTTTTTTACAGCTCTCGCAACTGCATAAGGTCAAATGAGCGCGCGGGACACACTAAATTTTCAGTTGGCAGGGAGTTTTGAATTTTGCCCGGTTCAATAGGTGCCGATTTCGAATCCGGATAGCGACGCAATATTTTCTTCTCTAAACCGTTCTCCTTTCACATCTTCTTTTTGATCTCTAACAATGTTCTATCGTCTGCTTTCGTCCCCACTTTCTGTTCTCTCCCCTGCTTTGTCCCCTCCTCTAGGCTCCTGACTCTTACTGCAGCCTTTCTGCCGCTACTCCTTGGCAACTTCTTACTGATGCCCTTCAGCCACACCTCTTATCTTATGGTAAATAAGATCCAACCCTTAGCCTTCTGGTATAAAACGGAAAATCTCGGAGGTCCCGTGTGCAAGTTGCGCTCGTTAAAGATCTCCTGTGGTCCAAAATCGATAAGAGTAATCTTAGGCCGACAACCGGACAAAATTCAAAATTTCCTACCAAATGAGAATGTTTAACATGTCCTGCGCACTCATATGACCTTAATATGCACCTGCGAGTGCCGTAAAACATGCCC